GTTTGAAAAACACGTTCAGCCCGATGAGAGTTTATTTATTCTTAACGTACTTGGATACGATCTGTCAGGACAAACACTCCGTCGCATACCACTGACGTAACACTCGTGTACCAAGGAATCAATTAACTTGACTCTAAAGCCAGGATCTCAGTTTCGAGTGGCTACACGCGACCATCGTAGCAAAACATATTGTCGGCAGGTTCAAAACAGGTGCGGCCTACATGTACTTTGTCGGGGGAGCGTTAATGGCCGGCAGATGTTAGAGGGGCGGGTGACCAGCCTTCTGTCCATGTTGATAAACACTTGTTGAAGTGACCACTTGACCTCCAACCGAATTGTGATCTATTGCTATTGTCATAAAATGTTGCGACTGTTCATCCCATGATTAACTTGTCATCAAGTCGTGTTTGCTGCTGTGTTGCACTCGATCTGACTTGCAGCATGAAGACATGGCGACTTTATTTTCAAAATCGACTTATAGAAAGGTACGGAAGCCTTTTAGGTCCATTTTTTTTTTTTTTTTTTTTTCGATACTATCTTGAAATTTCAAGATACTAAGTTGAAATTTCAAGATACTATACTTCTATTTCAAGATATTAAGTTGAAATTTCAAGATACTAAGTTGAAATTTCAAGATACTAAGTTGAAATTTCAAGATACTAAGTTGAAATTTCAAGATAGTATCTTGTATTCCAAGATAGTATCTTGAAATTTCAACTTAGTATCTTGAAATTTTCAAGATACTATCGAAAAAATAAAAAAACCAAATGGCCCTTTAAGGCTTCCGTAGAAAGGGGCAGAATGGTACATGTAATTCAACAAGTATTCTGACAAGTCGATCTGTCTTGAATCAAGTAGACGAGAAGAATTTAATGGGCATTTTGCTTACAGGTAATATATTCTTTTATTCAACGAGTGTTCAATATAAAGGCTTGTAGATTCTCTAGAAGGTGAAATACATTCACATACATAAACACGTAAAACTCCAGCCCTTTAAGAGAACACGTGATGCCATCATTTCAACATTTTACAATGATTTATGGGTGTAGGTCGTTATGAACGTCTTGCTCCAATTCAGCGCCGTTCTTTTCATGTGTGTGAGGTACGAGTTTACAATACCTCCAAACCTTTCTTCAATGGATTTCGAATCTCTTATCAATATTTTTTAATACCACAAGGTTGTTGTTTTTTAAATGTCATAATCCGCTAAATAAGAACTTTGAAAAATGAAAACAAAAATACTGAAACGAAATATGACGCCGTGTTTAAAAACACGCACATCCGTGTATACTTTCTTGGACGCGATTTTCTACCTTAACAATTCTTTTCTTCAATAGGTGTCAAACGTTCTTAATTGGTTTACATTTGGCATTTACGACTTGATTTGAAGCTATTCAGTTCACCCTGGTTGCTGTATACACTAGAAGCAGCACCAGATCCCCATTCCATAATGTGCCTTGTTCCTGACTTTCAATAGACCCCCTCTTCCACAAAATCGATGTAGCTAGGAGATTCTAAACTGAAGGCTTTCTTGCATAAGTTCGCCACATGCAGTAATCGCAATCAGCATTACCCCATAATCCTAAACTCGTTTTCCTAAAAATGTTTTAAACCCTTAAGGGCATTTCAATACCTGAAATGGACACACGCCGGTTTTAAGCCTTTATAAATGGCACACGCTCGCTCCGCTTATTGATGTCATAAGGTCATTTCCGATCCGTTCAACCCTGCTAATTTCTATTATGGCTGTTTTCGATTCGCCGTGGTTTAAGAAAACTTGCTGAAAGCCACAAACCCCTCTTTATTATATTGTCCAGTAACAGGTGGCATTGAAATCCAGTCTGCGACAGGTGCCCGTGTGTCCACCGTGACCACCCTTGACCACTCAATCACTGACCACGTTGAAACCATACTACCTCATTATAACGCGGTATCATAAATCAGAATTATAAAATATCAAATTATGTTTCATTCATTCTATATCATACAAACAAAACATGATATATTAAATTTTTTACCGTTTCAATAACGATAAGTTATTAATAAAAGCGTTATAACGAAGGAGACTTGCTATTTCAGCGAGCAGATGTGCTAAAGAGCGTCGGGCGACGGAAGTGCGCAACATGTGTGCGGGGCAAAGCGACCAAACTGTTGATTATGGCGCGGGATTGGGTAATAGTATTAACAGCTTGTAGGTAAACTCGGGGGAGAGTATGTATAACAATATCAGGCCTAATCATCAACATAATTAGCAGGATTGTAAGAAAGTATCCCAACTTTCGGAAATCCGCTGTCGACAATGATGTAATTCCGCATATGGTCGAGGATCCAGCAGATGTCGACATGTTTTCAGCAAGTAAATTGGCTGCTGAAACAGTTGACACAATAATTATTGATGGACGTGATAAGTGAACCAGATACACACTTCCATTGAATTGATGTGTAGAGGAAAATATTTGTTGATGTCAATCTGTTGTTTCTTTATTTGTTGTCTATTGACATTGCCAAGTTTAATCTCCATGCTGAAGTGATTAAATGTCTACATATTTTATCAATGTATATGATACGCGTATATGACAGTGTTTAAACCAAAAACCTTCATTGTAAGTTTCAAGCAAATCATAACCAATTCGTTCTTTAATGGTTGTTTAAAGAAAAGGACGAGTCTAAAAATATATTGCGGGACAATAGTGGACTAACACTATTGTACAAACGATAGTGAAACTGAAACTTCATTAATTGATAATAATCAATAATATGTGGACTTATATTGCACTTGCCTTAACTTGGTGGCTTTATTAGCTCAGTCAGTGTACGCTGGATTTTCGTTCTCAGCTCCCTGGGGTGTATACAACCCATACTGCCTTGTCAGGCGGAAGAAGGTTACCAGTCACATCTCCTCCTACCGGGTACCCATTCACTGATGGATGAACAGAGGCACATTTCGAACCAGGTCAGATGCCTAAGGAGACACCATGTGCTACACGTGTTTCAGTAGAGAACAGAGAACCTTGATACTCTCAGGGTCGACCGCGGTAATGCATCTAACTACCATTGGTGCTTAGTTTGACTTGATTTGTGACCTGTGTGCTGTGCACAAGAACATTTCTGCAAAATCCTGTGCAATCAAAATGATGTTATATCTGCATTCCGCTCCCCTCGAACCGTCTCTTACAGATTGGACTGTAAAGATCGAACCTGTAAACCAGTGATCGATATCGAGACCCCCGCGGTCAAACCAAGGCCGCGACAAAGAGGAGGTAACTCTTGGTGAACACCTAACCCCTCTTTATATATTCTAAAGTTGGTGCACGGTAGGGTGTATCACAATGCCCCACAGTACAGAATATATGAAAATCCTTGAATAAATGAAAATTTTGAACAATCTTTTGAAGTTCAAATTATAATTAGTCAGGTGGTGAGTATTTAGCAATATTCTATCACAACCACAGCGGGGATACCGGAAATGGGCTTCACACATTGTACCCGGGTCTTGTCCGCTATCCAAATAAGTTGTGAAGCGATAAACATCGATGCCTAGTGAAGTTCTGAGACCTGACCCACATTAAGCGGACACTCCGTAATGTAACCACACTATTTAAACTGGCTATGAATACACTTGTCAGAGGGGTACTCAAAGTACTTAATCTAGACTACCAGTTGTCGGACTTTAATTTTTGTGGAAGCCTCGGTGGCTGAGTGGGTTAGATCGCTGTCTTGTGCTGGCGATTAGGTGCCTCACTCTGGCAAGTGTGGGTTCGAATCCCGAACGGGACTCATCCCAAAACAGTACGAGAAACTGTACTTTACTAAAAAAAAGTGTTATCCCAAAATATAGCATTTGATATATTTAAACCGGCGTTAAACCCCAACTCGCTAGTATATCGTACCATGCAGGTACCGCGTGTCATAGCTGAATATTTACAACGTTAGTATTAGGGTAGGTTGGTTGGTTTGTTTGCTGCACTCAGCAATATTCCAGCTATAAGACGGCGGTCTGTAAATAATCGAGTCTGGACCAGACAATCAAGTGATAAATACCATGAGCATCGATCCACGCACTTGGGATCGATGACATGTATCAACCAAGTCAGCTAGTCTAACCACCCGATCCCGTTAGTCGCCTTTTTACGACAAGCATAGTCGCCTTTTACGGTAAGCATGGGTTGCTGAAGACCTATTAGGGTTGGGTATTGGAGGTTTAAAGTGTATCACAATATTTTTCAATTCACATGGACGTACTTCGATACGTATCACGATACATTGAAAAGCAATGACACATTTAGGTATGAACTAAAATTCATAATTAGAACAAAACAAGATGTTGGTTTCAACATGATGTTTTACTCCCTTGGGGTCCAGGATGCTCGCTCATGGGCAGCGGAGGCAAGTATATAATGTAACACATAAAAATTCCAATTTGATATCACCCGATGTATTAAGATATGTATGTAAGGATGAACCTCAAATTACCGCACACCCATAGTTATTTTACGTTATTTTACGTCAAGGGGCGGTGGTATAGCCTAGTGGTTAAAGCGTTCGCACGCCACTCTGAAGACCTGGCTCACATCACATCTTATGTAAGGATGTAATAATACGATATCGCATTTATAATACCTATCTAGTGTTTGCTTAACACCGCATCAGCAACCTAAACTGATGCTTATCGGGGCGATACTACGGTAGCAACGAGTGGGATGATCCCGACATGTGAAGACATGTCTTCAGCCTCCCATGCTCCCGACATGTGAAGACATGTCTTCAGCCTCCCATGCTTGCCTGGACTAAGTGGTGGTCAGGCTCGCTGACTTGGGTGATGCATGTCATCGTATCCCGATTGCGTACATGGATGCTCATGATATCAATCTCTGGATTGTCTGGTTATTTACAGACCGCCGCCATTAGGCTGGACTATTACTGAGTGCGGGAACAAACAAATACATCTATCACTACAATGACAGCAGGAAACACAACCCAGGACAAATTTGTATTCAACGAATTTATTATATCAGCAGCAGAGTTGCACATGCACTAGGTATGTTTCTGTACAATCTCACAAGATAAATTAGTAATATTAATATTAACTTAGGTTGATATATACATATGTACATATATACAAAACAATAACAAGAATATTGCACTTTTTACCCACTAATGGGGACACAAGGGGAGATGTGGCACAGCTGAAACATCACAGCAGCGTTTCAGCAATCATAGGGTCATTTGATAACATTAGGCAGGCATTATACCGCACAAAAGCTGATTCAGTTGACAGTTGTTGGGCGAGATCTGTTGATTTGTTCTTGGAACTTGTGGAACTACCAATGTTGGGTTCTTTGGGCTGCACTTATGAATGCTAAGGGTGTTGATAGCACGGTCTTGAAGTGGTCAAGCTGTTTACATGAAGGATGGAGAGTTGGACATCAACGACCGCCTTACTCGACCACGGCTCTCTCCGGCGCTCCACGACTTGGATTTGACCCGGAAGTGACGTAGGTCTGCAGCATGCGCCTCGTGATGCATGGGCTTGTAGCTGTCGGGTTCACAGTGAGTCTGCAAATAAACAATAATAGAAAAGGTAAATAAAATACAAATAGCATGCAACCAACCCATGAGAATAAAGTAAACGCTCATATTTAAAAAATATTTATTTAATAAAGAAATTTTGCGTACCCTGGCGATGCTTGTGTTGTAGAACGCCTTGTAGCCGCCGGACAACAGGTAGACTTCCGGGTAAAACAGGAAGGGGTAGCAGTCGGCATTCAACTTCCGGTCAAGACCTCGCAAGTGCCGGATCCTGAAATGATATATTGGTCATGTTGATCCCGGACATGTACAAGGGACATAAACACTTGTTCGGGTAACCTTCAATATGATTAGGGAATGGTCAAACCCAATCTTATCCAAATATCAATGTCTTGCATACTCATGTCAACCTCAAATATTACTTTGTTACTTAATATTGAATTGTACATACATCATTAGTTAGACACGCTGACCTTGAACTATGACGTTGAACTATGGGCCTATGGCAATGAATAAACAATTTGATTTGAATGGCATATTCAGAAATTATACTCATTCCGGTATCTTCTTGCATATAAACCGGAACTGATCTTGGTTTTTGTTTGTTTGTTTACGGCTATATGACGACGATTTTGATTTTTTGCTAATTTTGTTAATATATGCTGTACTTACATCTTGGGTGCCCTATTAGAGGAAAACTCGCAGTGGAAGACGAGGATGTGCCTGCCGGTGCTGTTGTGACGATGCTCCCTCACAAGCTTCTCAACATCACACTCGATGTACATGTTCTCAGCTCCCTTAATATGTCCGCCTTCATACTCGTACGGGTAGCGGCAGTCGATGACGCGGAAGGAGGAGATGACGTCACGGTAGTCCCCATTCAACAGCCCGCACATCTGGATTGAAAATATATATGCATGTAATACAAAAATAATATATACATGTGCGCAGGATATAGGTGTATCGGGTGAGTGAGTGAGTGACTCGGGCTTAGTGCCGCTTCGAACAGTATTCCAGTTTTGTTTGATAGGCATTCCTTCGTTAGAAGTTGACGGCGGGCAACAGTCACAATTTATGGAACTTCAGGACGTGAGCTTGGTGGTTGTGGTGAAACCAACGAAGCACGAGTTCTATGAATGTGTCGGTCGAAGTGAATTAAAATTATGTTTTGTAGTTGATGTTGATGACACTTACGGTTGATGGAGTGATACACTTGAGATCCTGATGCTTTCCGTCCTGAACAGTTGGCAACACATGGTTCTATTAACAAACATAATAATATTAAACATAATAATAATCACGTGATGAGAGTGTTGTAATGCCTTTCCAATTTGTGAAATAAAAATTATGATTGAGATCTTTCATTGCTTTTGCACACAAACTTATCTTGGAGTTTTAATTTAACGTCACACTGGCAATACTTCAGCAATATCGTGACGACTTATCTTGGAGACTAGAGAGATTTGAGAATGTCTTACCTGACTTCCGTCGCCGATGAGGTCCTCCCTAACCTCGAGTCTGTCTACGGCCTTCTTCACGCGCTCGGTGAGTGGGTTGAAATGGCGGTTTTCCTTCTCTGGCTGCGGCGACAGGAACATCTGGAAAGGGAGACAACTACGTTTCACGGATGCACCAACACAACGACGTCTGTTCGACTCGTCCCTTTCCGCAAGAAGAAGATTCACCCCCTATCACTTCATGTTATGTGCGAAATAATTCCAATAATTCCAATAATCCCAAAGATTCAGATTCAATTGCACAACAACATAAGTCCTGACGTTTTAAATAGCATATGGATTATGTATGGGGGGAATATAGCTATGCCGTTTGCGCTCAGAAAGAACACATTCGCAAAAATGGACACGAGTCGCTATACGACGTGTCGAGGAATAACCAGAGCTGGACAACGGTTCTCTCTTTTATGTATTGTAAATTTGAATTCGACACGATGACCACTTCATTGAAAATTTCATTTACCTGTCGACCAGCTCGGTGTCGCTTGGATGCGCTGCCTTCACCATCTTCTTTTCTGCTGCGCTTTCCCTTGGATGGTGGGGTCTGCTGACTGTCGCCGCCGAATAGACACCGCCTGGACGACCTGTCACTTTGACCCCCTGGCTGCTAGGGGAGGGAGAAAGGGGCGTTTTATTAAATAACCTGGCGAATGTTACCGGGCAACGGTGAATAATAGAAATGATAATAATGTTACATTATTTATAATAAGTAATTATAATGTATGGTATATTAATTTATAATTTATAGTCAATATAGTAACTAATAATTTATAGTCAATATAGTAAATAATAATTTATAGTCAATACAGTAAATAATAATTTATAGTCAATAAAGTAAATAATAATTTATAGTTTAATATAGTAAATAATAATTTATAGTCAATATAGTAAATAATAATTTATAGTTAATGTTCAGTATATCATATCCACCAAAACGTACCTGTGGGAATGGAGATTCGAACCCGCTGTCCTTAGATTCCGAGTCATCTGACTGGCCGGACGGTCTCCTCCACTGGGCGGGACTGTTTAGGACCAACTCCTGCAGGCTCATCGTCAGGGGAGAACACTCAGGGAACTAAAATGAAAAACAACCGTCAAAATATAACTGTTTGATTGGCATTCTAGAAGTTGGTGAGTAAGTAAGAAAACTTACAAGTTGTACGCATATAGCAACGTTTCAATGTAGATTCTTACACCGTTATCAAGCTGGAGTGACAATAACCAAGACAAAATGTGATAGGTGCATTTAGGATGACAATATCATGCTGACAGTTGCACTAATAATAATAATATTAAAAAATATTAATAATAATATTAACACAGTAGTATACACGACACGGTAAGCAATATCCGAAAAGCATGTATAGAGTATATACCGATGACAGATTGTGACAATGACAAACCTTGAAATTCATGATGAGTTATCCAATATATCCAAAGAAAATGCTGTGGTTGCGAAGTTGCCTCGATGAAAGTCAATTTCGACTATGCTTCCTCGACGAGGTCCGGGGGGTTATAAGCAAACTATAAACACTATCACAACACGGCCTTGAGAAGGTGGGAGAGGCAGAACTCCCCGTGTCTGTGTGAGAACTGGTCAGAGAGACTGGTCAGCTCAACTGGACATCTACAGCTCGGACAATGGGAATGACACGACTCGCTGCGCTCTGACGTTTATACCTACCGATATACAACGTTGGAATCACACAGCCGTGTCGATTACAGCATGCGTGAACTCGACTCAGCTTGTTAAGGTTACCCAAGCAGAACTGTTACTTTTTTCGCGACACATTGTCGGTAAAGTTGAAATCTAGAGGGGTAATTTGAAGGAGGTACCGCCATGATTTTTGTCAAGGAGCTGTGAATTATTTCATGTTCCTCCCCTTAATTACATTTACGATCGTGACCCTATTGATAACAATTGTTTTTAGTCGGTATGATGATAACTATTGCCATATGAGATAACCGGTTCTCATTTGAGATGATGTTTACAGAAACCCGCGGTGGCTTAATGAATTAATGGTCTGATTTTATTAACGCATAAACGTGAGAGCCGGAAATATTAGGTTAAAGCAATAAAATGTTTCGTTTGTTATCTGGCTGTATTGTAGACATATACTGACGAAAACAACTAAAGCAACGTATGAAACTATTACGACAGAACGGAAACAGTTGCATCCTGTAATAAACCTTTAAATAAACACAAGATATTGTAAACTATTATTTCCCCAATATGCTTTACATCCTACTAATAAATATAATTGTTATCTGAGGGAAGAGATATTTTAAGCTCTCTTTTAAACATAATAGGTATTATATATTTATTCCATACCTTATTTTTAGGTTAACAATAAATGCCAATAAGTTATATTACTACTCTATATTATATATACTTCAGCAAGCATATATAATTATTAGATTAATTATTATATATAATATTTATAATTAATATATTAATACTCTTTCACCCCCTAAAGTTACATTTTTTGGCATGGAGTTTAATCCTTATTAAATATTATTTATTTTTTTACTAAAACCCACCTACCCCAATAGCTGTGAAGTGGACGTTAAACCCTTAATTTCATTCTGTCAGTGAAGAGTACGTGACACACAATTATCAAACAACCTTAGGACCACTTCTTTTTACTTATTAGAACAATATTTTAACCAAAATATTGCATACATTAAAGGGAATCAGTAAACAGACAACTTACTGCCCATACATTATCTCCAATAAAATCAAGAAATACATATTTAGGGAAATATACAAACGTAATTCGTAGATTGAGAAAAACATACACAATCAGTTTAACTATATTTGTAAGTATATTATGGTCCGTAGTATTTATTGGTAATGTGTAATGCAAAAATTAAAATGTATACATGTACATTATATATCTTTGTATTTGTTTATTGCATTGTGTGATTATAGAGGGTGGTGAATAACAAATCAATGTCTTCCATTCGCAATGTGAACGATATCATGTCTCCGATAGAATGTTCCCTAAGTGTATGGCTAATGGATATGAAAAGTGATAACAATAGTAACAAATTGACTGTTAATATTTCTTATTCTAGATAATATTCTGTATGACTTTAAACGAAGACATTGACCATAACAAATATAAATGTAGATATACAATTTACTTGGGGGTGTCGTAATAATGGGGGTTTTTCATAAATGTTTCTTTATTTTAAATTCACCGTACTGTTTCTTTGTAGTTTTTTATTTACATTTGTTTTGCTCCGCTTGTATAGAGACTAAATATCTTTTTACCTCTTGATAATTGTCACGCTCCTTGCTCGTGACAGACAGCAGCGCTTGTCTCTAAATAAACACGATCACGATCGAATAAACAGGACATCAATTTGTCACAACTCACAAACAGAACCAAATCGATAAACAAAGTCTGTAAAAACTAGTCAATCTTTAATGTTTTTATGACAAATCACCTGTTGTCAAATTATCAGTTTGTGAAAACATAAATTTTATTGTAGCGCATTGGCTGGCTTTCTAAAGCTAGGTAGCTATATGTGTCAAACTAACGAATATAACGAAATAAAAAATTTAAAATTAATAGTAAAAATATACTTTTTTTAAACGATAGAGACGTAGGTCTGACATATAAACACAAATTCACACCAGAGAACAAGAAGTCTCGGTCATCGGCTTAAACAGATTCCACTAGGCGTAAAAAAACAAAATAGCAGTTACAATAAAATGAATGAAAATGAAAATTAGCGACGACTACGCGTGTTTACATTCTTGGATCATTCATTTACTATAGTGTATTTTTAATTGGATTTAAGTATATATGCCGTAGGATGTTTTTCAAACGTATCGATTTTATGTATTTCATCGACGCCAAAATCTAACAAGCAACTTTTTTTTTATATTCTGTATGTATTCTATTTTAAAAGAAGGATCGTTTTCCATATATGTGTGTCAGGTTGTCGCCCGAGCGCACCCCAAATCCTTAAACCTTGTCGCTACAAATTCATACAACTTTATGTTGGCAAGTTCACGACATAAGATCTTTGAATGGCAGTTTACAAATCACGACATAGCTCAAGTTTGACATTATGCGATGATGTGGATTTCGCTGTCACTCAAATCACGCGAGTCAAGCCAATCGTCCCAAGCTCGATGTCAGTGAGCATGCGCAATCATCATTAACCTTGACACGAGAAAACGAGCTGGCGTGCTGAAACTTGGGCCAATGTGTCATATCATGAGCTGAATTCACTAAAAAAAGTAATTATAGCATGTCAACTTGCCTTAAACTACAAACTTGCCACGTTGTGATTTGGTTTTACAAGGAAACCCATACCCTTATTGTGTTATAATTGTGTTATGGTTAACTATACAACGTCGAACAAAGTACACTAAAGCTACAGAAGACATAATTGATTATAAAGCATATTGATATAATGTTTTTAAACTTCATAAAGAAAATAGTTGTATTGAGAGAGCCTTGATAGATCATCTCTCTGAAGTCTGCTATATGATATATTTGTCACGTGACAATCAAAACATTAATCACATTTCTGATCTTTCTGTTACTTATATATTACATTTATCACGTGACAACAAACACAATCCGTTTTGCGATGTATCAATAAGTTCCCACGTGTCCAATGGAAATATTTCCACGTATATATGTGATTTTCTTCCCTTTAAAGACAGAAAAGAAAAAATCCTTAAAATATACACTTCTTAAGGATCTATCAATATAAATGAAGGACATTTTCTGTGGAAAAAAAACATTTATTCATACCTGTCTATAAACTGTTTGATTATTTGTGAACTACGTATGCCATTTTGTATGAATACACGAGTATGAATACAAAAAGTACGAGAATCTGTACTTTACTAAGAAAGTGTTGTCCTGAATATAACATTTGTTGCCATTTTGTAAGTCAAAGAAAAAAGGTATCTGCTTATGCACAGACATCGTCCAATTCCCACGGTCTCGTCTCAATCTTATATACTTAAAAAATTAAAAGCGTAACACTATTAACAAGTTTGAAAGACATGGTAAGTAAACATTGAAGTAATTATCATCGCTCGCTATTCGTCCTCAGATTGAATAATTAAAGAGTAGACTGATGGTGGGCCCCAGCCTATCTTGATTAACACCCTGCCCGACCCGCGGGTTCTTTAATCTGCAGGGTAGGGAACGACTGACGGTGTTGGCGCTTAGGCTTATAACAGTCGTATAGAGAGTGGACAATTAATAAGGAAAAAACTGTTCATTTTGTGAATGTAGGGGCGGGTAGAATTTCTATTTGTGCTGGAATTGTTGTGAATTGGAAATTGTCAGATATCAATATTTTTCATCATATTATTGTATATTTCTTAGTATCCACACGTTCATTTGTCTTGTGTTGTACCTAAAACACTTCTGGTAAGGAGAGGATTTAATATTCAGACATAAGCGACCTGGCCATTCAAACCTGGATGTACTAAGTTTTGCATGACTCCACCAGACTCGACAAAAAGATTTCAAGTTTTATCAAGGGAGACAACTCTTTTCCGTTTTTGGTTGGCCTTTACTATATTTTTAAACTAATACAGAACCTTCTAAAATACGTCTATATATCCCCCACGCACACCCATCTCAAATAATGGCAGTCACGTTGAAACTAATAAAGGTTACTGCCTGTCCATCCTGTTTTCATCGTTGTTTCGAAAATTTGAACATGAATCACAATATTGAAAATTTCAGTAAAATCCTCATAATACGTCGATAATACAGCAGTTCGTTTTGACTTTAAATACATTGGCTACATTAAAACCACGTCGCTTAATTTATTTGATATGTTAAAGTAACAAAAGGCACGTGCATTTAATGCAGCCCATCTGAGTCATATAGAAATTAGGCTATTATAGACGCCAATAAACGATGCGGTAATAATTCAATCAATTATATTAGGGCAATAAAACCATGTGACCCACCCATCCCATTCCCAGTGGCGACTGAAAATTAGCCCCATCCACGTCGGCGTTCATGGTCCCTTTGATATAAGTAATAAAAGATTTACAGCAGTAAAACTGTACTTGTGAACAGTTTCCACGAACAATTCATTACAAGGAGGCTATACCCGATAATCAGCTAATGATGTTTATAATTCGCTTTTAATCGGACAGTGCAGTGAGGTTTCAGCCTGCTTCTGAAGTTCACCCGCAGGCGTTTTTCAGTTATAAGACAGTGTTGACGTTTTTACTAAAATGAAGCAATGAGTTTATCAATTGCATCTACCTTTTAAAAAAATGGAAATATTTCATGCGTATTGGAATAATAGGATAGTTGCTTTGCGTTGCTATTCAGAGAAATATCAGCATGTAGATGTTTGACTATTTAAATGTAAGTTTCAATATTTCATAATTCCTATAAGTAGGTAAGTTGAAAATTAATATCATACTGGCAACATCTCAGCCTCAATTCTGACAAATTGAAAGATTGACAAGTTGAAATATACGTGATTGTCAAATATAAACTTGATATACAATGTAACAGAACAACCACCCACTGCACGCTGTGTCTGAGGATACTAATCATGTTCGCATATAACTGAATAAAAAAACATAGAACTAAATGTTTTGTTAATTGACTAAT